GAAACAATAAATTTCAGAAGATCAAAGGGCGTGCCCCAAATTTTGACTAGCAACCAATAGGTCATTGGGAAGATAAGTTTCCCCCAATAATGAGGATCCCAAATTTATGCCAATTTTAGCCAATTTGTTAATTGCTGTATCTCTGTGTAAGAAACATGTATAAAATCTTCTTCTTTGGGTGTGATCGGGGTTCTTCTCTGCCTTAAGGGGAGACCCCAGCTGACTCTATTGGCCTGCTTTCAATACAAATTTATGCCAATTTTAGCCAATTTGTTAATTGCTGTATCTCTGTGTAAGAAACATGTATAAAATCTTCTTCTTTGGGTGTGATCGGGGTTCTTCTCTGCCTTAAGGGGAGACCCCAGCTGACTCTATTGGCCTGCTTTCAATAAAACTTTAAAATCTCAGCTGGTGTTTTCGTGTCTGATCTTCTGCCGGACTGAATCCTAATTGGGGAGAGTCAGAAACCCTCAAATTTTGCTAACACACCTTCCTAAAAATATTTGGGAGTGACCTGGACAGGTAATAAATTCCTTGCTTTGCTCATCCATGACTTGTCTATATTAGCTCTTCTGTTAGAAGACTAAGATCAGTTGCAAATGTAACTTTCATAATGCTGTCCTACTTTTTGTTCTAAGGGCAGTGCTGGAGTAGCTCTACTCATGCCTCATTTCTAGCCTGAGACCCCCTGGTTTTGGACCAGATGGGAGATAAAGACAGCTTCAGGCAGTGCTTTTTACTCTTGTCCCTCTTTCAATGGGTTGTTTGTGTGATTTCCTCCTTCTTACTTCAAAACTTGCCATCACTGATTCTGGGTAGGAGAAATAAGAGAGCACACAACCTTCTTTAAAATTTGAAAGGTACGAAGATCACATTACCTGTAGGACCAAGGAGAGACACTGTTGAGATTGATGGGGAGATGGTACTTCTTGTCAGTAGCTGGCCTGCCTCCCGCTGGACAACTGATGTTCTGATCATTTTCCAGGGGCTCCAACTGCAGGGTGTGATGGAAGGCACTGAGCATGCCAGCTGTGAGTCTTCCATACAGCTGTTCCAGAAGCTCCTCAGGCCGGTCTGCACAGGATCGAGACCGCATGGGGCGTTTGCTTCCTTTGACAGCCTCTATTCTGGGGAAACCCAGCCGACACAAAAGGAGAGAAACCAGTATCCATCCCTGTTATGAGCGGGAGATGAAACAGTACAAAAGATATTTCGAGCTGGGGGAGAAACAGAGTGGTTCATCCCCCCGCAAAGGTTACAGAATTTGAGATGCAGAAAAAGAAAACTGGCGGAAAACAATTTCGGGTTTTTTCCCTGACTGAGCACACTATTTGATTAAGCCTGAATTCCCCAACATGGCATCTGTTATCTCCTCCAACTCTTCTGCCAGAGCAATTTGACTTTGGAGCCAAGATCCAGAGACGTGGTGGGCTCCTGATGTTGCAGAGTCCAGGACAGGATGGACCCCCATCTGACAGAGGTGGTTTAATTTATATGGATTCCTGTCCCGTGCAATGGTTTGATTCAAGGGCCTAATGGCTCTTTTCTAACTCTCCGTTTCTGGCTGAAACTGCTCACTGTTGCCAGAGGTTAAGACTGACTCAAGAACTGTCGGTGTGCACGGTCAGCTGCAAGAGGGCGCGAAAGCTGCTTGCACAAACGCGTGTCACCTGAGGCGCCAGCGATCAGCCGCTCTTGCTGACGGGCGGGTTAGACGTGAAAAGGCACTACCGCTCTCTTACCACAGCGGGGACCTGCAGGCAGACAGCTCTTACTAAGCTTCCCACAGGCAGCCTGGCCAATGGCTGCAGCTCCGCAACTTTTACCCAGCGCCCTCAGCCCGTATTTCCCCAAAAGCGCGCTTCGGCTTGGCTCAAAACAGCCCGACGTTTTGCGCGCACCAAAGCCCCGAGAGCGCCTCTCCTGGTGCTTCGCTTTATACCCGATACCAATTCTTTATTTCCCACTCAAGCTCGCGGCAGACGAGCAGAGGCGAAAGCGGGGCCGCGCCTCGGCTCTCTCATCCCACTTGCCCCGCGATGCCGAACGGGGAAGAAGCGCAACAGCACAGGTTTGCAAGAAATCCAGGCCGGAGCGAACGGCCTCCAACCCGCCGGCGCCGAGCAGCCAGGAGGGAAGCTCGCATCGCGGGGAGGTCAAAGGTGTCGCGTGGATTCTTCCCTGTTCTCCGCGACCCTGTCACGGGTCCCCACTGCGCCCTTACCTTGGCCGTCTGCATGGCAGGGGCGCCTCAGAATGCGGAGCGTGGAAGCGGTGAGAAGGGCTGGCCTGGCGAGCGCTCGGTGTCCTCCTGGCTCTGGCGGGGTGGGGGGAGCGGAGGAAAAGTTGGAAGAGCGCCCCGCTTCTCACAGCATGACCCCCCACCCCCGGCTGCTGGTGCCAGGATCGTTCAACACGTCGAGGGAAAGGCTGGTCCTCCAGCGCTTCCCTCGCTGGGGTGACGGAAGCGGGGAACGCGAGGTCTTTTAGCCCCCCGATCTGGGGGGCATTGGGGAGGGCTCCGCCTTTTAGCCCCCCGATCTGGGGGGCATTGGGGAGGGCTCCTCCCGCGGCAAAAGTTACCTAAGCTGTAACTTAATGTTGTGGCCAAAGGAGGATGATCAAACCAGGGCGCAAACTCCCGAATTTCTAAGAGCCCTTAATTCAGCAATACGGTTAGAAACCCAGGAAAACGGGGATGGAGGGGAAGAACATAAGTTCTGCGTCAGGTTACATTTAGATGGAAGTCTGAAGTCATGTAAACTGAATCTCAACGTGTAAAGAAATAGTGTTATATGCTAAGAACTTTCTGCAAAGCTTTCTGGGAAGAATCCCCCGGTCCCAAAGCAAATAATTGTTGGCTGGCTTGGCTGGTCTTCTGTTGGAAATATAAAACGAGTTCTTAAAAACTAAACCTATTTCCGAAAAGTGAGACACCTTAATGTTCCAGTTCTTCTTGTTGGTACCTGGGAGTTGGGGAACTAATCCTTGTAATGTTTACAAGGACTTTGCTCCAAAGGTCATCCATATGCACTCATTTTTTAAAAAATCCTGTAAACTCCTGTTTTTCATATGCTCCAGCCAGTATGTATATATACATTTCACAGCTCATTTGTATACTGATGATGCAAAAAACATGGAACATAAAGGATAGACATAATTTGTAGATGCCTTTTGGTTCCAGCCCACTTTCTCTCCAGATCCCATATACTGTACCATTTTTTTCACTGGCGCATATGCAATCTGTTGAGAAAGATGTTGGCCATGATACTATGATGGATTATAGAAGAGTGCACCATATAGGCACCATACAAATCCCAATATTTTAATTTGTGCTTATCAACAATAGTAGGTGTAAGCTCCAAGATTGGGGGGAGAGAGAGAGAGAGTTTATCTGTATAGCACTTTAATTGTATGGCTTACTTTTATGTGTGCACATGCATGCACGTTCAAGTCAGTCTGGACTTCTGGAAACTGCCTGGACAAGTTCCCAGTTTTCTTGGCAACACTTTTGGAAGTGGTCTGCCACTGCCTTCTTCTTCCTGAGGCTGCGAGAGTGACTGGCACAAAGTCACCCAGCTGGCTTTGTGCCTAAATCAGAACTAGAACTCACAGTATCCTTTCTAGCTCAGTGCCTTTAACCACTACACCAAACTGGCTCCCATGGCTTAAATACAATTAGTGAAAAAAGATGAATTGTAAGCCTACCAAGAGTGCTCAAAATATATAATGGAGGAAGAAAGAGAGAAGGGGAGGAAAGAGGAAATTTGATACTAGTTCTTAAATAACCACCAGCTGGGAGAGGCAGAATTGGAAGTATCTGGTCTTTCTGCAGAGTTGATAGTTCTGTTACTCTGATATCTTTCTCTTCTTATGATGTGATGAAATGGCTGTTCTTGATGACAGTTGATAGGGATGTTCAGTTGTGAATCAAACTGAATGTTGATTTAGACTCACCAACATTTATGAAGACTCCAGCTTTATAACTTTTCTTTCTGCAAAGAATCCTTTAAGGAACTAAATTACAGCAGACCTGTATAATGCCTTTTGGTAGGAGTCCACTGTCTGCAACTGCCCTTCCATCAACCATCTCTAATTACTAAACCCTGCAGGTTCTTCCAGACAATAAACCCTGCAAAAATCCTTAAACAATCCATCTGAAAGCAGTTTGGTCAAGTTTGGCTGGAAAGGTGTTTAAAAAAATAAAAGGAGTTTCAGAGTGATTATTTCAGCTCCAGTTCCTGAAATTACAGAGGCATACCCTGCAATGAACTCTGGAGCTCCTTTCTCAGAAGTGGACCTAAGAAGCTATATATACGGAGTTAAACTTGTAAAACATGGATAGCTTTTCCAAGTCTCAGTAAGAAATCTCTCAGTTCAGATGCCTCTGTACTTAACGGGCACATGAAACTTGTATTTCATCACAGAATTACTACTTTTTCCCTCTAATTTAGGTTGAATATATGCACTTGCAGTTTCTGTTCTGTGTCCCGTAGAGGCTAAGAGGATCACACTACCAATATTCAGCAGCAAAACATCAAATAACGCATCAAATCATAGTGCTATGTGCCTACCACTTTCATAAAACATTAAAATACCCCCAAAACACAAAAACAGATTAAAAGTTCCAGTTTTCCTATATCATGTTACTACCCTACCCACTACAGGCTTTGACATAAAACAAAAATGTTAAGTGCTGTCTCTAGGCACAAAAAGCTTGCCCATTCCTGTTCCAAGATACTTGCCTAGGGAAAATAAGGTCAGTGCTGATAAACAAACACTGGAAATTTCTTGTTTCTCATTTAAAAAATTAAATGGTAACACAGTGCAGTAATTGAAAACATCATTTCAGAAGGCAATGCTGCTCTAAATTAGTCTTTATTCATTTTTAAAACTTAATTAAATCACCTATTTGAGATGGACAGATGATTTAGAGAGCAGAAGCTTAATGTCATCTGTTTTCTTGTTCAAAACTTTATATAATGAAATATGTCTAATTAATTAAAATTTTTAATTAACCAAAAAGAATGGTATTTGTGTGTTGCTCCATTTTCTGCACTTGGCAAATAAATATGTCAAAAATTCAGAAAAGAAAACAAAGGGCTCTACAGATTCAAAAGTGTTTGGCTAACTTACAAATTCAACAAATGTATAAATTATGACTCCCCAAAGCTGGATCTGATGCTATACGAAAGGGCTGTTTTAGTAAACATGAAAAAATATGTAGGCTTCTAAACTGTCACGATCCTTATTAAGCTAATTAGAAAAAGTGAAGGTCTGAAACATCCTCTTTGACTTTTAATCAAATCTGTTTTTTCTTAGATGCGCACAGTACTAATTTCCTATTTCAGTTTCTTTAATGTGGAGTAATTCCCACAATCTGTTCAGCAAAAAAATCTGGGCTCTGAGATTTGAATATTGATACACACAAGTTCTTGGCAGATGTTGTACTGTAGTTTACTGCTGCTGTTCTTTCACAGAGGCAAAGAGAACTATGGAACAGAATTAACCTGACAGATATAGGGTGGCTTATAGAAAATTGCTTCAGTTACAATGAGGAGCAAGTCTACTTGGTTAAAAAATATTAGGAGATTATTATACCGTGCCATAAATAAGTCCCATGTGCATAAAATCTTGCCACATACAAGACAGAGATGGCACATTTTGCAACTTGGAAAACATGGATAAATTGGGTGGTCAAATATTGTCAAATAATGATTAGGAATGATTAAAGTTAGAACACTTAGAAATTGCAATAGATATTGTATAGATATCATTTGTTAGATATTCTCACACAATTCATTTTCTAAAATATTCCCCAAAATGCCCTGCATTGGTTCCCCTGAATTAGCAACAAAGCTGTGAAGAGCTGATACAATTAACAAAGCCACATGCCATAGCCATTGTTTCTGACATCCATGACCAATATCCTAGCGCCCATGGCTTGACTCTTGAGCTGTCTTTTCAGGGGCAATATTTCAAATAGATACCTTATGTGAGGTTAGGTTGAGCAATTGCCCTCCAACAAAACTGGATATTTATCAAGGCGAATACATGGGTTATGATATAAGGATGCCCAATGCTTCAGCCTTAGGCTGTTCACTGCTATCCAGCATTATCATAGATCGTTACGGTTCTTTGGGTGAGCATAAAAGATATGAAATGAGATAAAAGTTATGATCAACGATATGCAAGATTTTAAATTCTTATTATAAAAAACAGTTTACTTAAAATAAAGATTTCATATACATAGTGTTCAAATAAATATAAATCTCTATTAAGAATCTTTTTTTTCTTATGAAACTTTTAAAATAATTGAACTGGTCTAAAAAGTTATTCTGGAAGCAAATCATCGCCTAGTTCTTCATCAGCAAACTCATCTTCATCCATTTTTTTCCTTAGCGCTGTTTTTGGTCTCTCAGCTTGAGGTCCAAGTGGATCCAGGTAGGAAGCATCTACATTTTAAACAGAAAGAAAAAACAGATTTAAGAAATTTGTTCTTTTACTGAATATCTGGGACAGCTTCTCAAACTTTTTATATTTATTCACTGGGTTGGATCAATATCTTAGAAGATTAAAAAAAAGTCTAAAATTATCTTGATAGGTTAAGGAAATGGGCTGAAAATAACAGAATTAAATTAAACAAAGACAAATGCAAAATCTTTAAACTGAGATAACCAAAATCAAATGCACAGGTATAAAGATACAGAATACCTGGCTTAGGAGAGTATTTGGGAAGGAAGGAAGGAAGGACGGACTGGCTGAATATGAGTCAAAAGTGTGATGTGACTTCAAAAAAGGCAAATGCAATTTTACACTACATCAGCACAAACATAGTTTTCAAATTGTAGGAAGCTTTATTCTACTTTGGTCAAAACCCAGCTTCAGGCTCTTTAAAAAGATTTTACAGAAATGAACAAATTCCCAGAAGAAGGATAACCAGGGACTAAAAACTATGACATATGAAGAGACTGAAAGAACAGGGAATTTTTAGGTTTGAGAAGTTGCCGGGGGCAGGGAGAATAGCACTCTTCAAATACCTGAAAGGATGTCACCCAGAGGAAGGTCATGACCTGTTCTCCATTATGTCAGAGTGCAGGACACAAAATAAAGGATTAAATTACAGATACATGGATCCTAATTAGATGTTAAAAGAAAAACTCCCTAACAGTAAAAGCAGGTCTATTATGGAACCAATTACCCAGTGAAATCAATTGGCCAGTGTGTGCTCCTGTTCACTAGATGTATTCACATGGAGGCCAGACAGCCATCTGTTAGGCATGTTTGAATTTGGATTCTTATACCCAGCAGAAGCTGGACTTAGTGGCCTCCTCTAATTCTATGTCAGAATAAAATTACATTTCATAGTCCAAAGTAGTCATATATTTTTCTCCAAACTTCCACGATCTTATGCCATGTCCTACCAAATTTTAGAGATCTTCCTACCAGTGATACTACCCTACCTCCTCTTCCACGTCAGTAAAGACAAGAATCTCCAACTTGGGGGCAGATTGGCCCATTGGAATTTTTAAAGGAAATGTCATGAATCAGTACGTTGGGGTCAATTACAAAACACCAATTTTTCAAAAAAGCAACACTGCCAGTCATATAACTTGCCCAGGATATGAGTGAAAGAAAGTAGGTGGAACACAAAGTAGTCCATTAAACCCACATTTCACAGGCAAACGGTTGCAGCCACAAAATAAGTAACTTGTTTGGGATCTTGAATATCTGGAGAGGGGAGGAATCAGCCTCAAAGTGTTTTCTCTTACCATGCAGTTCTCACTTTCTCATCCAAACTCTCAACCCAATTACTCATTCCTCTCCATTTTTCTCTATCCCTCTGGATCAGTCCTTTACTAACCCAAACATGAATTCCATATCCCACAACAGACAGATAAATATCCAAAGACCCTTGGCTTCCTTCCCTCTCTCTTCTTATCTCACAGCCTCCCCAATCTCATCCCTACTGCTCCCATTTCTCATTTCCCCCTCCTACCTCTTTGCCATAACGGTTAACCCCAGTCTGCTTACTACTTTCTCTTTCAGCTCCAACACTGGGTAATCCCCAGCAACTCTCTTGGTTGCCCAACTGCCACTTCCAACTCCCCTTTCTACCAGCCAATTGTTAGAGGAAGTAATCTGGGTGTTTCTGGAGAGACACCTGGAGTTTCTGGAGAGTGGTGAAGCCACTCTTTGTAACTTTAATGGAAAGAAGAATTACTGCAGAATATACTTGGGGCTGGGGACAGTTGATGCCTAGTTCGTAGCTAGCTACATCCTATCAGGCAAAAAGTCAGAGAGCAAGTGATCTTGAGAAATCCAAGGTAAGAGAGATTTTCCCTGAGATTAGTAATCTCACCTTGAGCAGGCCAGGTGTGAAAAAGAGGGAACAAAAAGAGATTCCTAATTAGTTACACACACACACACACACCCTGTGGTCAGTAGACTGAAGAGTCAGTACAACTTCCAGTATCTCACCACTTCCTTTTCTGCAGAGCATCAAAGGATGCTTCAGAAGAAAAAAACTGCCCTTTAATTGCTCATTATCTTCATAAGAAGGTCTCTGTAAAAAATTTCCTATAAAACACTTCCAACCACCATCCTCTCCCCCAATTAAAGTAAGAATAAATCTGCTATTTGGGGGATAACTAAATAAATCGGCATGCTATTTTGCATGGGGAGGTGTGTTCATGGGCATATCATCAATGTACATTATTCCACTTTATCCTACATCGTGGTTTCATTTCCATAGTCAATCCAGGAGCTCTACAGTTTGCAGAATAAAATTCACCCCTGGTGTTCTAAGCAGTATATAAACAGAAGAAACATTTTATACAGCACAGTTTGCATTTTACAGAATGTACATGTAGGCTACTACTGAAGTACTCTTTATACAGGATGGTTTATAAAGACTGCATTTCATAAGACTATATTGATTCTATAGTTGAACAATTTTTTGATGTGGCTTATTTTTTTGCCAGGATTTTTTTGTCAGTACTTCTTTGAGGTCTTATAAGTTCATGGCCAGTGACAGTAACTAGACACTTTCTCTTTTGTCACCTCTTTTTCAATTGCCTTCAGTTTTTCCAAGCATTGGGATCTTCTCCAGAGACTCATATTATGTGCTCCACATATTTAAGCTTCATCTTCATTATCAGTACTCCCACTGAGTAGCCTGATTTTATTTCATCTAGTACTGAATTATTTATTCTTCTAGAGGTCCAAAGTATTCTCAACAATTTTCTCTAGCACCATACTTCAAAGGCATCTGTTCTTCTTCAATCAACCTTTCTGATGATCCGGCTTTTGTGCCAGACTTTTGTACTAATAACTGGGAAAACATACAACATCTCTGTTGTTTCTGCACATGTTGTCTAGATCTATCAAGCACAATGAAGCAGCAGGTATCTTTTATTTTATGGCTACAGTCACTGCCCCTGTAAATTTTTGAACCTAGAAAGATGGTATGTTACTACTTCAACTTCTCTATTTGCATTGGCGTGGCATTTGACCTTTTTTAAAATATTGAACAACAATCTTGTTTTAGCACTTTTTTCACCATTAACAAAAGATTCCGTAAGTCTTTCTCATTTCCAGCCACCAAAGTGATATCACTAGCATATCTAGGTTGATAATTCTCCATAGATATGCTAATGATATCACTTTGATATCAGTTTTAGACAGGCAGTTTTAATTCCACTTTTTATTTCTTCTAGTTCAGCAGTTCTCATGATATATTTTGCATACTGGAAAAAGTCCACATGGTAGTTGTTTAAATATTGCTTTTCTGATATGAACTTTTGCATAAAGAGTAGTTCCCCTTTCCTTCCATTATAAAAACTGAATTATACCAATGATGTAAAAAGTTAAACTTTTGCCTTCTTTGCGCATTTAACCAATTCTGTGAAAGCAAATAATTAGATACATCACTTACCTATTTCTTTATTAACACTACTTTCATAGGGCTCATTTGTTCCTGGCAAAGATTTCAATTTAGCACTCAGACGATCTCCTTTAACTGTTATGCTACCAGGATCTGACATAAGAGAAAAAAAGTTCACTATAATTTTTGGTCAACATAACATAAACAAAGTCTCTGTGGATGATACTTTAGAAAGTTAAAGCATTCTACATAGTTTCCCATGACCCATATAGTTTACTTGAAACTATGACCAGATCCTGACTGATTACCAACCAATCTGTTCTGGACTGATATTTCAGTAATCCTTACAGTTATTCTAAGAGATGTTAGGTTGTAGGGAAAGCAGCAGAAAGCCAAGGCTGATCTTACATGCCTTGCCTAAGACATTCACTTGAATTCAAATTTGAGTTGAATTGCAAATCCTCCTGTCTCCCAGCCAACATCTGTAACTACAAATTGTACCTACAATATGCCACAGAGGCATAATGACAACACGTGCATCAGGCCATCGCACAAATGACATGAATAACATAATTTGTCACAAAGGCAGGATATAAATCTAATAAATACTGTGGCAATAGCATAGTGTACATGATGTCATACTCTTCTCCCCCAAGGAAGGCCAGCTTTTTTTTAATATGAATCAGAGTACGTCAGGGATCTTATATTAGTTTATTAGTTATGACATCTCATAAGTCTTTCCTCACCATTCCCTGAAGACCTTAGATGCTTCCTGAACCTGGTTCTCTTGGAGCAAATATTTTCATGGCGGCATGTTTTTTACTGGAATTACTTTCTTACATAGGCTGCATGTTTCTATTCATTGCTAGAGAAGCACTGTTTATTTTCATCTTCTTAACTGGTTGCTAAGTTGCAGATTAATCTGCATTTTAATTTTGCTGGGAGTGGGTTTTATTTGAAATACTGTTCATATTGATGGTTTCCATGTATTTTAGATATCAGAGTTTTAATGTATGACATTTTGATATGTTTTATTTCTTGCTGGGTTTTATGGAACGTTCTCAGAAAAAAAAGTTTTGCATAAAAATTTCTACATCCATTCATTTGTTCTCTCTCCTTCTTCAGACAGCTGCTGAAACACAGTGGATACCTTAGAGATTTGCCTTTACTTGGGAGAGCTGCTTGTAACAGCTTCAACAGGGCTTTTCTTTCATCCCTTCCTTCCTCTATCCAGTTATCTCTTCCTCTCACCCAATCCCTACCCTGTTTTTTCTTTTATTTTGCTGTTTCTGGAGGAAAGAGGATGGGAATAGATGTGCTTGCATATGAGAATGGTTTGTTTGGGTAAGAGAAAAAAAGATTGGCATACACTGATGGGAATCAATTACATTTATAGGCGAGATAGGAAAACAAACAAATGGATCATACAGTAAATCAATCCAAATTTTTTACTCATGGCACAAATGAACAGGTTCAAATTATCATATTTTGGACATATTATGTGAAGAGATGTTCTGTAAGCATCTTCTGTATACCACAGGGAGTGATGGGATCCACGAGAGGGGAGAAGTCGCATAAGCGTAATCTGATCCAAAGCCTCGGTGGCCCTCTTATTCCAAGTGGTAATCAAGATCTCAAATGGAGCATGCAGTAGACCAGCAGGAATAACCCCCAGCTCCCTTTGAAACCCCTCGGGGTCCATCAGTCGCTGAGAGCGGACCAATCTAATAGATCCTGCCTCGCTGCGTTGGATAGTGGCACTGGAGAACCCCATGGTAATCAGGGCATGATCTGACCATGTCAAGAGGGACACCAGAGGTTCTCCCAATTCCAGATCACATTCCCATTGCTCGAACAGGAAAACCAGATCAGGTGTGTGACCACTGTCCCATGCCAGGCTCTGGATGACCTGGGTTAGGCCCATGGCTGTCATGGTAGCCATGAACTCCTGAGCTGCCTCTGACCCCAACCCCAGAGAAGGCAGACTGAACTCCCCCAGAACCATAAGTCTGGGGAGCTCCACTGCCAGCCCAGCAATGAAGTCCAGCAGCTCAGGCAGGGAGGCTGCTACACAGCAGGGAGGCTGGTACAGCTGCAACAATCCCAAATGATCCTTAGAGCCCAACTTAATCAACAGGGTCCCACATCTGGCAACCTGTGAAGCAGCACCCCTGAAAGCCTTAAGAGACTCCCGGATGGTAATCACTATACCTCCACCCCTGCCCTGGAATCTCGGCTGATGCTACACCCGAAATCCGGCTGGGCACATTTCAAAAGAGCCACCCCCACTTCCGGATCCAGCTAGATCTCAGTAATACATGCCAGATCAGCCCTCTTATCTGTGATTAAATCACAGATGTGGGAGGCCTTATTACAGAATGACCTGGCATTTAGTAGCAGCAGCCGAAAGCCAGGGCCTCTGAAGGTCAAGTATTTAACTTGAATTTTGCTACAACAGGCTCTGTTCTTAACTATGGGTCATCTGTAACCTGGGTGTTCTTAACCCGGGGACTACCTATATTCCCTCTGAAATGGTAGAAGATAAGCTTACAAAAACCTTTACTTCCATGGAAGCTAAATAAGACATATAAAGTTCAGAGGTCTGCATCCTATTGAGTAGTTGGCACAGGATATGAGACTGGCTGTTATCACCAGATAAAGTTCTTTCATTTGTCTGAAACACAAATGCCTCAAGTATGATCCAAAATTCTGAGTTCAAAGCATGATCTAAAAGTCTACTGCCTTTCACATGGGATCATAGAACTGGGTTCCTAATCCTTCAAGTATAAATGGAACTATATACCTTCGGGAACCTGTCCCCAAGAAATACTCAGAGAATGGAACATGATACAAAATACTAGTTCTGAAAGAGGGACTGCTAGCTTGAGCAACCTCTATAACTACAAGTAATATTTCCTCAATTGCTCAATGTGCCAATATTAGATACTGCATAGTGTCCTTCGGTCTCGCTAAGAGTGGAGACTTCAACTGCACAGGAGCAATTCTAGCCAAAGAAATTGTTCTTAAAGTCTCACAGAGCATTCTAGGAATAGCAACAGCCTTCTATTACTTGCTTGGTTTGCTGTACAGGAGCATTCTAAGGATTTCATCTGCCTCCACCCATACAAATAAGCGCCTTGTACTCCTGACACAATTTCTACTTTAACTGTGCATCTGTATTTACTGACACTTCTGCTTACCATAAGCCTGAGTGATAAATACTTTTTAATTATTTAAGTCAGTCTTCCACAAGTTGTTTCTTCCCAGATATGTTGGACTATCATTATTCCCAGTCAGTAGAAACTAAAGCTAGGCTAGTTGATGGAAATTGTGGTTCAGTACTTCAGGAGCATGGCAGATTGGGAAAGCTGACATAATAAAATAGCAAATGAAATCCTGCAGTGGTCCATCTCCAGAAAAGGACTTTGAGAAGATAATGTTTCTTCTCACGTTTGTTGCCATAAGGTTTTCCATGCTATACTAAGTAATACCAGTAATGAAATGTAATATTCATGAACAATTGTAACGTTCATCTGCAAGCCTTCAAGTTCACTTCAGAAACATTACTTTATAATGTACATTACAGTGTACACCATGAGAAAGATATATGAAAACAAAGCCAAAATTAAATATATAAAAGCCTAAGATTACAACACTCCATGATACAAGGCAATTACCATGGAAACACATGGCATAGTTTTTAGTCTTTAAGCCCTGGTAAAATATATCCTAATAGCACTCAAATTTCTCTGACAATGTTTTATGGTCTCAATTAAAAACATGATGCGGTATGGCATGCCAAAGTGAGAGAACAGTGAACATCTGTTCCTAAAAAAGATCCATAACAAGCAACTTTTGAAACCTGACCCAGTTTCTAAAGCGGTGTGTGATATAGTAGCATCTATATTAGACCAAATACTTATTAGGCAAATTGGAAATAAATATACATATGTATAGAGAAATGTGCATGTAAATATGTAACAAATGTGTGTGTCACTTTTGAAAAAAAGCCTACCAAATTCAATAAAGCAAACCTGACAGATTTGCAAGATGAGGAACTTGAGAGATTTGCAAAAATAGTCATATTAACCCAACCTAAATTCCATTAGTACTTACCACCTCCAGCACTCCCTTCTCTGCGGGCACGGGCACTGCCATTTCTGCCAGACCTGACACGCTACAAATGGTGGAATAGATAGACTTACTGTTTAATATTATCAGTAACTATTATAGCATCATTTTACGCAAATTACACCTCACAATTTTTCCTGAGACTACTTACTGAGTTTTAAGGAGGGGTTGACTGGGTGGATGAATACACGTAGATTTGTCAAGCTTTACTGTGTATTCCTGAAAATACTATATATATCTCTGAACTTCTTGGACTATGAGTCCTAAACCCTCCTTCTGATTTTCAATAGTGCAATTCCTGGCTCTTAAAAAAGTGATATGGGCTGAAAATTGTCTTTTTTGAATGGATCTCATTTTATGAATGAATAAATGCATGACTTTATTGTAGCAATAGACCATAACTCTTGTTTTACTAATGGGAACATCTAGGAACATGCACACAAACCTCAGTAACTTTTTAAAAAAATAATATTTTCTGGATTTTATTAGTCTGTGCTTCTAATATTTTAACATCTAATTTTGTGTATTTTCATGTGAAGTGATTTAAGAGTGTCTGATTGAAGAAGAGCACCAGAATCAATTTTAAAAAAATAAGTAAAGTTAACAAGATATGTAACAGACTATATAGGAAATAGGATCAGGGACTAAGCTTGGAACTAAGGAGAAAGGGGACAAACTATACAATACAAAAAGCGGCATGTCAACCAGCTCTTATCTACCAAAAGCTAATATACTTAGTATTCACTGAGATGTTGTGAGCCACCCTAGATGAGATGGGCAGCTATACAAATCGAAATAATAATAATAATAATAATAATAATAATAATAATAATAATAATA